GGGGGATTGCCGCTAGAGGGCACGTCCTCCATGCGGCGCCAGCGTCTGCAGCGAGTCCGGGCGGCTGCAGCTCTGACACCTCTGCCTGAGAGTCAGTCCTCCCTGCTCTCAGCCCAGTGACCGTCAGACTCCAACCCGAAATAAGCAATGTGGAATCGCACGGTTTATACTGTGATTTTTTTTTTTTTAACCTTTTTTATTTTGACTATTTAAAGTCAAGGATGAAACACCCAGTGTGGTTTGGGGCGAGGATTTCGTGTTAGAAGTTGGATTGAGAAGCAGCGCTCGCATTTGCTGTCCTCTCTCCCCTGTGGCATGGTGGCCCTGTGACCCATCTGCCCTCCTGCCCTTTGCACCCATGGGTGCTAGAGCTGCACGAGCAACCTGCTTCTCTGGTTAAGTAACTGGACATGAGCCTAGTCTTCCAGAAAGAAGAAATTGATGGTTGATCCATTGTGGGTCCAACAACTCTTTCGCTAACTGGGAAGGAGACCTGGCTGCTGGCAAAGTGGCCATTCCCCGTTCAGCGTCCTGCTTGGAGAAGGTGAGAGGAGCAGATGCTCGTGGCCACCACTGGCAGCGTGGGCACAGCCACGGCGGGGAGCGAGTTCCCCAAAGCAGGGAGGAGGTGAACTCATGTTCATACCGTGAATATGGAAAAGCAAATACAAGGGGGTTTGTAACTGAACAAAAGGGATCGGTGTGGCTGATACTTCCTTCTGAAGGGAGTCTTCGAGCAGCCCTGTTCCAGAAGATCGCCTGCACAAGCAACATTGGGATATTTTTCATGGGGCTGCGTAACAGATGTAGAGTTGTGTTTGCAGTATTTTTATAAACCGCATATAAGCAACAAATTGCCTATAATATCAACAGCAATCACAGATGCTCATTTTTAAAATATACCAAACATCTGTCAGAAGAGTGAAAAATGTCAACAAGATACAGCATCTGTCTCTAGTCCTTTGTCATCTACCAAGAAACACAGCTATTAACCAGAAGCGTTAGTCCCAGCAAGGCTAATGCAGTTCCATTAACCTTTCTGTGTCTCCTATCTTACATATTTCGCTGGAAGAAATCTTTAACAGCTTTTCCCCTCCAGTAGCTTTGCTTTAGAGGCTGTGAGAGCCTAGAGCTTTCCTACCAACTGTATTTTTGCATCCAGTCCCAAACAACACTCAAGTTGCCCCTTTCTTTCTGGAGGAGAAGCCAAAGGGCAGCTCTTTGCTCTGTCCCTCAGTGAGTCACCGTGAGGAAGAGGTAGATCCTTTTTTTGAGGAACTTGCTCCTTTTCTGTGATGTTCTCCAGAAAACCTTACTGAGCCAGGGTGCCCGAGCAAGGAGAACCATCCGTACATACTACAGCTCTGGAGCGTAGATGTGTCGCTGTTCTGGGATCCTAAAAAGAAGTAATGTATAAGTAAAGGGTAGGGTATCTGTAATATTCTGGGTGAATTTGGATTCCTGTATATTTTTTCTGCTAACAAAGCAGAGGCTGATGAGCTGGCACTGACGGGCTGTGTGGCAAGAGGCTTAGAGGAGCCCTCACCCCTGGGTCACCAGAGCAGAAGACAGGAGTGTACCCAGCCATGCCCTACTCGTGACCTGATTTTACAAGGCTCT